AAAATCTAGATAGATTTAGAATTCACAAAACAACATCTAAAGATAGATTGGAAACTGCCACGGCGCCAGTTTAGAATTTCATCAGACGATCCACACTCTTCACATGTGTTGAAATGCAACACTCCCTTTCTCGGAAAATATATAAAGCGCCCGTCTTAACCTATAAATATAGTCACTTTACAGTCACTCGACAGTCACTTCGCCATCTGCGTGAGCCCTCGTCGGTTGTACCCTAGGTCCACCTCATCGACCATGTAGCCCAGTAAGAACTCTTCTATCTCCATCTTTTGCTCCTAGCTCAACTTTTTTTTGTTCACGTAACTTTCTTAGTGCAACTGTGTCTTCGTTTTTGTGTATGGACATTCCCAAGCTTTCCACTCTGCCTCGACCACGACTGCCTGTACTCTGTGAGGACTTTTAAAGGTCTTACAAGGTGCAGAGAGGTACTGGAAAACTCCCCATCCTGGCTGTTCCTCTCGGTCAACACAGTATAGCGAGAGTTGACAGGGACTCACGCCATATTTTAAGTCGACTGGATCACTCATCACAGATTTAAGTCGACAAGATTCTACAAGAGGCACACAGGACTTCATCACATATATATATATATAATAGAAACACCTCAGTAACTAATTACACGCATGTTATACATGAACCATTGCATCACAATATTTAATGTTATCTGTACAAACTGGAGATAATAAAATAAAACTGTGTCATAGAATAGGAGTTTAGTTAAATGGATAGAGTGAAATATAGAAGTCCAACAACGTTTAAGAACGAGGCTTAGAGATGTTAGAAGTTTCCAGAAGGTCTTCAAGAGAGTACAATGACCTCTCTTACTTGATTTACCCCAGTATTTCATCAGACAAATGCCCAGTACTTCCGTATTTTGCCTCTATAAAAACCCCTGAAAACCCGGAAATGGATGGCCACCTTCAAGTCTGCGAGAGCGTATATCGTCAATCCACCCCATTGGCCATGCCACCCTAGAACAGTAAGCCAATCTTCTCAACCCTCTCCATCTCTTTCTGCTTGTCTCAACTATTTCTGTAACTTCTGCAACTTTCCCAGTGCAACTGTGTCCTTCGTTTTTATGTTGGCAATCCCAAGTCTTCAATTCTGCCTCGACCACGACTGCCTGTACTCTGTGAGAGCTGTGAAAGGTCTTTCAGGGTGCATAGAGATATGGGAAAACGCTCCACACCTGCGACTGCTCTCTCGATTAACATATATTTAATATAAATATATAATATAGGTGAAATTTTATAATAATAGAAAAATATCTAATTCAGTATTTATATATAATACTTGCCGAATGACCCGGGCAACGCCCGGGTTTTACCGATTAAATGCTTTTATTCAAATACTATTCGTTACAATTATAAATTGGCGCCGTGGATGTCATTCTTGTGAAACGTCACGCTCCAAACTTTGTGTCTGAGAAGCAATATTTTTATAAAGAGATGATCTGGCTTTGTGTCTTCTGCTCGAATGAATGTTTTTCTGTTAGAATTTTTTTCCTGCATACTAAAAATGAACTGGCTTGGAACTTGGAATTTTTCAGGATATAATTTTGTACCTGATAATCAAATATTATACAGCACTATTGTCATAATCATTTCTGACTAAAAAAAAACAACTATTTTTGCTCAGAACCTGTCAATTTCAATTTTTCTTGGCTAAAAATGCGACAAATATCTCTTCCATATTTTTTTCTATGTCCTGTTAAAACACGTTTTACATGTACATTAGTTCAGCTGATATTACCTCCATCTTCACCGCTAGAGGCGCTGCTTCCGAGCGAATGAACAAATTTGCAACTCAAATTTGCAAATAACTCGAAAAATATTCGGGATAGAGACCTGAAATATTCAATATAATTTTTCCAGATTCTACTATACATACTGCTAAAATTTCAGTCATATTAGTTACGTATTTCACGTATATTACGTGACACCATTCCATTCACAAAATCAAACGATGACAGAATTGATGACTCTGATACTTGTATCTATATCTATCTCTATCTCTATATATATAAAAGTCAATTTCTGTCTGTCTGTCTGTCTGTTTCGCGATAAACTCAAAAACTACTGAACCAATTGGTACCAAATTTTGCATGTCGCTTTTTATAAACCTAAGGAAAATTTTCGGCTGCATTCAATATTTTGATTAGTATTTTTGGCTATTTCTTTTTTTCATTTGAAGAACTTTGTTTTACGCGGACTAATCCGGAATGGAATGAATACCTAAATATGGCCATTTTTTTAAAGCATCGGTGGTTCAGTGGTAGAATGCTCGCTTGCCACGCGGGCGGCCAGGGTTCAATTCCCGGCCGATGCATTTTTTTTTAAACAATTTTTAAAACTCATTTATATTATATCCTTTCCTTATATATTTAAAAATGAAATGCGAAATCGATGTTTGTTATCGCATCACGCAAAATCTACTGACTCAATCATTATGGTATTTCGCATGTAGGTATCTGAAGATTTCGTTTAACATATAGGCTATTCAAAAAACTAAAAAAGTTAATGTGCTTTTTTTTTAAATAAAAAACCAAAAAGCGTTAGTTCCAGTCTTTTACCGCTAGGGCGCAGCACTGGTCGCGACGATAAATGAATTTGATTTTTTTAAAGCATCGGTGGTTCAGTGGTAGAATGCTCGCCTGCCACGCGGGCGGCCAGGGTTCGATTCCCGGCCGATGCATTTTTTTTTAACAATTTTTAAAACTCATTTATATTATATCCTTATCCTTATATATATATATAAAAATGAAATGCGAAATCGATGTTTGTTATCGCATCACGCAAAATCTACTGACTCAATCATTATGGAATTTCGCATGTAGGTAGCTGATGATTTCGTTTAACATATAGGCTATTCAAAAAACTAAAAAAGTTAATGTGCTTTTTTTTTAAATAAAAAACCAAAAAGCGTTAGTTCCAGTCTTTTACCGCTAGGGCGCCGCACTGGTCGCGACGATAAATGAATTTGATTTTTTTAAAGCATCGGTGGTTCAGTGGTAGAATGCTCGCCTGCCACGCGGGCGGCCAGGGTTCGATTCCCGGCCGATGCATTTTTTTTTTAACAATTTTTAAAACTCATTTATATTATATCTTCTATATAAATGGAAATTTCATAAGTGGTGTTCGCTAAAAACTTTCGTTACAATGCATCAATTTCTACCAAATTTTCAACATTTATGTAAAACGAGATGGAGCAGGTTTTGCTTAACATCAAAATATTTTTCCTAACTTTAAAATACATAACTTTGCTGTTATCGATAAAATACAAAAAATTCAACAGAATTAATTTTATTTATATATAAATACAAAAAAAAAATTCAGCAATTCATTCAACTCAATCTAAAAAAATATTCAAAACAAGCAAATTTAAGATAACACCATATGTAAAACAGTCGGCCAAGAAAACAACAACGATATTACATCTTTCTCACATATTCACACACAATCTTGATTAATAATTAAAACTAATCTTTAGCATTGTTTATTATACTTCATAATATATAATATTCGTTAGGCAAACTTTCACTCGGATAAAACCCGGGCGAAGCCGGGTACACATCCGCTAGTCTTCTATATATATAAAAATGAATGTTTGTATGTTTGTTTGTTTGTTTGTTGGTTTGTATGTCCGGTATACAAATTCGCAGTAGTTAACTAATTCAAACCAAAATTTCCATACATAGGTAAAAAAAATACGGGGAAGACGATAGCCTATTTTAAAAAATATATAAATCAATTATTAAAACTATATATTATTAGTCAGAAAATGATGATGGCGATATTGCTGTATCATGTAAGATTATCAGATACAAAATTATATCGGGAAAAATTCCAAAAAGCAGAGACCACGGGTGAAACCAGCTCATTATTTTGTACGCAGGAACAAAATTCTAACAGAAAAACATTCATTCGAGCAGAAAACAAAAGCCAGATCATCTTTCTATAAAAATATCGCTTCTCAGACACAAAGTTTGGAGCGGGACGTTTCACAAGAGTGACATCCACGCCGCCAATTTATAATTGTAACGAATAGTATTTAAATAAAAACATTTAATAAATAATAATAAAAAATATATATATATAAAATTGAATGTCTGTCTGTCTGTACTCTATAGATTCAAAAACCATACATCCAATCGCCGTGAAATTTTGGGATATTATTAGGTATATACCCGGGAAGGTTTTCGAAAAATAATTTCTTGAATATCTTGAATCTCCTTAGAGTTATTTGCAGATTTATATATTTAACTCGCAAGCAGCGCCCCCTAGCGGGGGATAACAAGTTTTTTTTATCTATAAGTTTTATTATCACTAAGTTTATTATCTTAAAGATTATTTATCAAAAGTAAGATTTTCTAACTATTAATTACGCACAAGTCAAAGTTAGTTTTATCATTTATCTACAATATATATATTGGGAGAATAGATAAAATGATGATTTTGTAATGTAGAAAATTAGGAAAGACAAAATTCAGGATGACACGGCAATTTATTTGAGACAAGAATAATGATACAATTCCAAGGCATGATACTATTCCTTTAACTTCCAATTACCGAGGGAACCAATTAATATTGATTTTATTCAACTTATCGAGTATTTTTAAAGGGACCGGGAAAAAATGTTCACTTTATCGAGAGATTCAAATTTACGAGTTTCAAATTATCAAAAAATATATATATTTTTTAATAAGTTTATAGAGAATTGTTTTAACAAATGTTCGTTAGACAAACCTTTACTCGGGTAAAACCCGGGCGAAGCCGGGTACATCCGCTAGTCTTTTAATAATAATATAAATGAGTTTTAAAAATTGTAAAAAAAAAAAAAAACGCATCGGCCGGGAATCGAACCCGGGCCGCCCGCGTGGCAGGCGAGCATTCTACCACTGAACCATCGATGCTTATAAAAAATGTCCATATATGGGTATTTATTCCATTCACAAAAGCAAACGGTGACAGAATTGTTGATTGATTGCTAATTGATGACTGATGCTTGTATATTTTAATAATGACGTACACACAAATTATTAATCCTATTTGAAAAATTTGGTTTCTAGATACTTCTAGGCCAATACATATAACATATTTTGAATTTGTTAAAATCTAAACATAATTACTAATAAAATATATGTTGTATTTTCTTTAAATTGAGTTCTATATAGTATGTATTCAAGTTTTACTATTGAAATGATACTATGTTGATGTGAGAAATACTAGGTGTTAATATGTACAATATATGTAAATATATTTATAAATTAGGTGCACACCTGGGTTGAGGTCGAGCGAACAGCCAGTCCCTGACTCGAGCCGAACGAACAAAACAATCAGATTCAGCTTTGTTACGAAAGGCTCAGGTCAGCTATTGGCATGTTGGGCAGCAGCTTCTTCGGGGTCGGGTCCTCCTGGAGCACAACGTTTGTTGAATTACTCTGATTTGTCTTAAGTCTCTGGGTACCCAGTCTAAGACAGGCTCATGTGCTAGGTATATGAAGCAACAGAATCAATTATTAGGATGTTTAACATAGTGAATACAACGTGTGATCAATAATTTCCAGGAATGAAACTGGATCACGTAAAATATTCAAAATAATGAAATAATTTTAAATGGACCTTATAGATAAAATATTTATCAACACTTAGAGAAAAAATTGATCACAGAGACGCACGCGCTCACGTTTTTTCGAATTTATAAGCTCTAGTAAATCAGAACATCTAACTTCAGTATGGACTGTAGTGAAAAACAGCGATTCTGCTTAGAGTTTTGCTTTAAATTAAGGAAAACCGCTTCCGAATCATTTCAAATGTTGAAGCAGGCTTTTAAAGATGACCTATCATAATCGAGGACATTTGAATGGTTCGCACGATTTAGAGCTGGTCGAATGGGCGTCAAGGATGATCTACACACTAGCAGACCTTTATTGATAAGAAACCCCAAAAATGCACTCAAAATCAAGTCATCGATCAAATAAAATCTAAGAATAACTATCAGAGAGCTATCAGAAGACTTGAATGTCTCTTCTGGAACATGCCAAACCATCATATAGAATGATCTGCATCTTAAACGATCCCCGGCTAAATTTGTCCCACATCTATTAACGAATGAGCAGAAAGAGCATCGCAAATAAAGTGCAATATCATGGTCGAAATGTTTAATTCTGATCCCCATTGGCTCAAAATTGTTATCACGGGAGATGAAACATGGGTGTACGGATATGATCCCGAGACTAAGAGGCAATCAAGCCAGTGGCTAGAGCCTGGAGAACCAAGATTAAAAAAAGGATGATAAAATACAAGATTAAGTGTCGTATTATCACTTTCTTTGATGTAAAGGGATTGATACACTATGAATTCGTGCCCGAGGGTCAGAACATTTATCAACATTACTATATTGATGTATTGCGATGTTTAAGGGAGGCTGTGCGTCAGAAACGACCCGAAAAAGGGTATCAGAAAAATTGGCTCTTGCATCATGACAACGCATTGCCACATATGGCCATCACTATATAACTCTAGTTGGCTAAACACGGAATTGCTTTAATAACTCAGCCACCCTATTCTCCTGACTTTGCTCCCAACGACTTTTTCCTTTACCCTAAAATAAAAAAAGTCTCAAAAGGACGTTGATTTGACTCAATACCTGAAATAAAGGAGAATACGAAGAATATTTTGAGAAGCCTGAAAGGTGAGAATTTTCAGAGGTGTTTTGAAATCTGGAAAAAAAGATGGAACAAAGTGTATAGATAGTGACGGTGATTATTTTGAGAAATTTTAAATTGAACTTTATTATATTTTTATATTTATTTAAATATTTAGCATTCCTGGAAATTATTGAACACACTATGTAAATATAATTAAATATAATTGATTGCTTTTTTTGTTGTTTCAAATGTTCTTAAAATATATTTGTTTATATATATATATATATATATATATATATATATATATATATATATATATATATAACATTTCTATATGAGTAAAATAATAAAATATATTGAAACATTTTGATAAAATATTATAAAACAAAAACGCACAACGTTAATTAAAATTTGTAAAAACATTTTGAACTATCGAAAGAATGCTTTTAAAAATCAATCAAACAATCAGTTTTAAAATATGTATTCCATTTTTTATAGAAAAAGAGAGAGACAAAAGAAAATATTATGTTTTATCTATTGATAAATCAATTATTTAACAAAGGACTTAGGCTTTTTATAGTTTGCATAATGATTAAGAACGTAGCAATTTGATATCTATATCGACATTTGACAGAATATATACAACAAAACTCGATTTTCCCTCGATTAAACCTTTCTTAACATAAAACGCAAGCTCTCGAGCCCCAAACTCTTCATCAGACGTTACTAAATCCTGTCTAAAAACCCGAGCTGTATATATAACGGCTATTGTAGATAGAATTTTGTTTAGTAATGTTTGATGTAGAGCCTGGTGCTGGAAAGGTTATGTATTTTGTGAAAAGAAAGTTTTTAAAAAATCTATTTTGCGTATGTATGTTGTCAAATATCGATATATAGTATTTATTAATCATATATATATATATAGTTAAAGTGCAATTATAAATAATTTATTTATTCTATTTAGAGACAATTTTAGAATATTTAAGAGATTTGTGTGCTCCACTAAAGTACTATACAAATCTCATCTAGAGAGAGAGAGAGAGATGTATATAACAAATCAAAGTCAAAGTTAACATTAAGCAAATAGTAAAAATAATAACTTAAAAAAATAACGATTGCTATTTACACTACATTATAAGGATATATACAATTAATATAATAATTTATCATTTTATAGATTTCAGAGCTTTATATATATTTTTATAATAAATCTCTGTAGTTCAATGAATAACCGGTTATCATTCATAAAAGCTTAAATTGTCATTTCATTCTTTTTAATTTAACAACAAAATAAAAAGAAATTCTTTGATTGTAATATTTGAGACACCCGAATAATATACACTGCGTGACATTGAAAATGGAACACCAAGAAATAGTGGCCAGAAAGTGATGAAACTCGGCAGACAGAGAGAGACAGGGACGAACAATAAGTGATCTTTATTTCAAAATGATAGTCATAATACAGAGCGAGAACGGCGTCGGCTTACTAGCAAGTAGGACCACCGCGGACGGCGATGCACGCAGCAACACGTCTAGGTAGAGAGTCAATCAGAGTACGGATGGCGTCCTGAGGGATGGCTCTCCATTCCCTCTCAACCATTTGCCACAGTTCGTCTTCTGAACGCGGGTGTGGCAAGGCATGCAAACGGCGTCCAATGATGTCCCAGACGTGCTCGATTGGTGAGAGATCAGGAGAGTACGGTGGCCAGGGAAGCATCTGTACATCTTGCAGAGCTTGTTGGCTAATGCGAGCAGTGTGCGGTCGGGCGTTATCCTGCTGATAAAGGGCATTGGGTACCCCCTGAAGGTAGAGGAGTGTCACCGGTCGCAGCACATCATCAACGTATCGTTGGGCCGTCATAGTGCCCTGAATACGAAGTAAAGGTGACCTGGAATCATACGCGATTGCGCCCCAAACCATGATTCCACGTTGTCGCACGGTGGGGCGTTCCACAATTGCTGCCGGATTGGACCTTTCTCCACGTCGACGCCACACGCGTACACGGCGACTATCACTGGACAAGCAGAAACGCGACTCATCTGAGAACACGACCCTGTGCCATTCCGTCATCCACGTCGATCTAGCCCGGCACCATTCTAAACGTTGGCGCCTATTCGGTGGAGTCAATGGCAGTCTTCTTAGCGGACGGGATGAGTGCAAGCCATTAGCAACCAATCGACGGGAAATGGTTCTGGTCGAGATGGAATGATCTAGGGTGTCTTGCACATGTTGCAGGATGGCGGTACAAGTGGCTTGTGGGGCCGCCACTGCTTGTCGAAGGATACGCCGATCCACACGTGCTGGCGTCACTCTGGTTGCACCGACATTCCTATAAATTGCCACATTTCCTTGTTCCAACCATCTTCTCCACAGTCGGTGCACCGTGGACGCACCAAGGTGTGTATCAACTGCGATTTGACGTATGGACCAACCTGCCCTTTTCAGTCCGATCACCATGCCCCTCATAAAAGCGTCTGTCTGCTTGAACTGCCTCCGTTTACGATGACCTGGCATTCTCTGTTATTACACGTGTCTTTTGACACAAGAACAAAATTTCTACAATGATTTTCCTTGAAGAAATAACGACACGAATACTGTCCTTTCTGCAAGTTCCTTCCCTCATATCTTACTTCATGTGCGCACGAGAGCTGCGCATTTTACATCATTTGCATAACTCGGTTAGGCGCGTCTACCCTGAAATTTGCATAATTTTCTGGCCACTATTTCTTGGTGTTCCATTTTCAATGTCACGCAGTGTATGTTCTACTGTTTCTACTCCCAAGCGACATTCATATTGAAAATTTTCATTTTTCTATTTTATATAGAGGTATCTATTGATCTTATATATAAAAGTAAATGACTGTTGTCTGTTTCGCGATAAACTCAAAACTACTGAACCAATTGGTACCAAATTTTTCATGTCACTTTTTATAAATCTGAGGAAAAGTTTTATTAGCATTTTTGGCTATTTTTTTTTTCATTTGAAGAACTTTTTCAACGCGGAGTAAATACTAGGTGAAGTAACAACACCAGGCCAATTAGGCGACCAATGAGCGTTCTGCATTTTTTTCAAGTTACTTGCGTACTTTTTTTTAAATATCTTTTTATACGAGTGTTACTTTTTTTACAAAAGTATTGAGTATTGAAAGAGAAATATATATTACTAAGTTACGGTAAGTGCACCAATTGCAATAAAAAAAAAACTACAAAATTAACATTATTGTATGTGAACAAAGGCTTTAATATTTTTTATTAATTTTCGTTCTGGCCTTTCTATATCTCTTTAAAAAAATCGTCTAAAATGCAGTCGCAGTCATTAGTAAACACATATGTTTGCCTAATTTCCATGTGCTCTTTTATATATTTTTTAAGAAAAATATTTACATTCCAGTATTTTGGATTAAATTTTTTATAAACCTTTTTTTTTCTTATTCTTACAGAGAAAATGGGCATCGCAGTCATGATCCATCGCAGTCACTCACTCAACTGAGGCAATTTCAAGGGTCAATGCGCTGAAGCGGGTACCTCGGAGGTTGGGTGGAAAAGCTGCCATATATTTAAACTATATTGATTTTGAAACAACTAAATTGATTGCAAAAAATAATCAAATAAAATACCTAAACACTAATTTGATACATTTTTTTCCATCACACGCACTTTTTGCCTGTGGTTTAAGTGTTACTTCTGTATTTCTATTTTATGGCACTTCTATTATTTATTATTTATGTTCTTTCAATATGAAGGAAATTGCACTCGGGGGAATTCTCGGGCGAAGCCGGGTCATTCGTCTAGTTATATATAATAATGAAATAATAGCCAAATCTTGTAATCAATTTTTAATATACTTATAGGGCACCTAGAAATATGAAATTTGGTACACATGTTCAAACCTGATGACAATGCTATCTGACCAATTTTCAGACTTCTGGGTTGTCAGGTTGGCCAAGAACGGACAAATTTCGAAATTTCCTTTCAAATTTTGTATATTTAATTTTATTTATTTTGTTTTACCAATATCTCGCGAACCGTTCGTTTTCAGCGATTTTCCTTCGATTTCTCCTTCTTGAATAAACTTTCTTGGTATACTTTTTACGCTCTTTCTGATGGTACCATTTTCATTGAGATTGGTCAACTTTTTTATTTAAAAGCTTTTATTTAACTTGCCTCCATGTCTGTTTGTCTGGATGTCTGTCGCCAAATCTTGTAATCAATTTTTATTAATATACTTATAGGGCACCTAGAAATATGAAATTTGGTACACATGTTCAAACCTGATGACAATGCTAGATGACCAATTTTCAGACTTCTGGGTTGTCAGGTTGGCCAAGAACGGACAAATTTCCAAATTTCCTTTCAAATTTTGTATATTTAATTTTAATATGCTTCCAGACCATATAGAATGATGAAACTCACAATACTCGCTCAGTCCAATTAATAATTGACAGATAGACAGACATACATTCATTTTTATATATAGAGATTAGCAGTAATTAAACGTAACAGTAAGAAAATGTTGATTTTATTATATGTAAATAGAGTCTCTTAAGAAAGACCAGCTAAAAACATGACTCAACTTGTTTCTCCTGTAGGTGGTCTCTCATTGGAGATTCTAATTGATATTAAAGAATCTCTAATAGACCTTTAATAAGAGACTGCCTCTTGGAGAGACGGGTTAAGCTACGATTTTAGGCATCCTCTCAATGGAAGCTCTACTGTCTCTACTTCTTCACACTGTTTGGCTTAATAAATGCCATTTTAACCATTTTGAATGTGTATCATTCCAGTCTATTTTTTTATATTTTATAGGCAAAATCACTTCATTTCAATTCATAGGGAATTTTCAACATTTTTTTTTTCTTCATTCAGCTTACTTTCTATTATATTTTAAGCCATTGTTCCATTATACATATTTAATACCGTATACATTGTTTTACTTTCAAAAATGTCATTAATTATTTGAATACAGACACACACACACACACACATTGAAAACCTTCTTTATAATGATGATAATCTTAAATAAAAATTTTAATTCAATTTGGGAAATAAAACGAAACGAAAAAATGAAATCTGACAAAAAAATAGCTTTATAACTTTCCCCAAAGTTCTAAATGGTCAAATAGCAAAAGTGGCTATATAAATAAAGTTATACACAAAGATAAAATATAGATTTTAAAATATTTTTTTTACTTAATTTTAATGCATTGTAAATTTTCATCTTCAGGGTCATTATGTGGAAAATTTGGTGACATTTGGTTAAGTAGTTTCTGAGTTTATCGATAAACAGACAGACAAATTTTGATTTTTATATATATGAAGATAATACAGAGATTATAAATCAGAGTGCTGAAAATATAATAGATTAATTAATATTTATCCTTATTTTTTTCCAAAAAAAAAGGTTTTTCAAACTAATAATTAGATAGAAACCTTTCTGGTAGTATATTAAACAATTTCTCAAAGTTAAATTGCGATGAAATGGGTAGTTTGGTCCGGCATAAAGAAGAGGCATATAATCATTTTTTTCTATATGCATGATAATATTTAGAGCAGATTGTTGAATTATAACAGATAAATTATAAAATTTATCTTGATTATTTTTAGGCGAAAAGTTATTTCAAATATTTTATTTGCTAGAAAGCTTCCCAGTACTATACTAAATAACTTCCCAAAGTTTCATGGCGTTCCAATGAGTGGTTTGGTCAGGCATAAAGGACAGACACACCACACACACACATACATTCATTTTTATATATATAGATGATCTGGCTTTGTGTCTTCTACTCGAATGAATGTTTTCTGTTAGAATTTTGTTTCTGCATACTAAAAGTGAACTCGCTTCACCCGTGGTCTATGCTCTTTTGGATTTTTTTTCCTATATAATTTTGTATCTGGTTATCAAACATGATACAGCAATATTTTCATTATCATTTTCTGACTAAAAAACAACTATTTTTTCCCAGAACCTGTCAATTTCAAATTTTCTTGGCTAAAAATGCGACAATGCTGGAGGTTGCGAAAGGATTTTTTCAATGAATGTTCAAGACATGGAAGGAATTAGAAATCCAAATATTCAGATTCCTACCTAAAACGTCCTTGGAATTACAAGCAAATAAATGAGAAGATCCAACAAATATATTAATTTTGTCTGTTATAATTTAGTCATCTTATTCCAATATCATCACGCATATATTTATATTCATTATATATATATATATATATACACAAAGCAATAACGCGCCATCTATACATATGAAATAAAAGGATTTAAAAGCGCGATGTTTCTTTATACATATTATCTATATATATTTATATATATATATATATAGGTGTTTGTGTAACAATATACCACCATACATTTCACAACACCTTTTTAAATAGTTTCCCTTTTTCAATCAGTATGTTGTTACTTTTAACTATTTAATCAATTGTTTAATTATAATTCAAATTTAATATGTACCAATTATCCCCTAACAATAATCCACTGGGTGTCTCTAACTTTGTAATATAATTCAATAAATTTAGGGTTCCCAAAAGCAAAGAGACGCAGTTCTGTTAGTAACGGATTTTGCTTACGTCACTTCCGACCGCCCACGAGGAATTGACCAATCTGCTGCGAGCAGGCTTGCAGCTATTTAAGGCCAACGTCGCCTCAGTGATAAGGCTTTTTTTTTGGACTGGCATATATACGACTAAAAATAGCGTGAATAATTAATTAGAAAAACACTTTAAAAAAAAAGCTTTTATTTAAAATGCACTAAAAATAACAAAATAGATATTTCTGAAGTATTGCTTTTTTTCTGAAGGTACCATTTAACAAATAAAATAATAGACTTAGAAATAAAAGCGGTGGGGTACAATAATAATAAATTTGAGATCAATGTGATTTTATATGAAGCAAATGATTAGCAAGATTATTCTTTTCATTAAATTGATACCTATTTGCTGCATAGATGATTATCATCCCCCACCGCTTTTATTTCTAAGTCTATTATTTTATTTGTTGAATGGTACCTTCAGAAAAAAAGCAATACTTCAGAAATATTTATTTTGTTATTTTTAGTGCATTTTAAATAAAAGCTTTTTTTAAAGTGTTTTTATAATTAATTATTTAAAATGGAGTTGGAGATATTTATTAACACTTTATATTTCAAAATTCGCATTGTAAAATGTAACGGGCGACGTACACAGAACCATAACATTATTTAATGAAACCGACAGGGTCTCGATTAATAGAGAACTGCTGCAATAATATGGTTTTGTAACTGACTTAAAATAGTGCTATAGAGAGAGTTTTAAACAATGGATTATATCTCAAATCTACAGTCATGTCGAGAGCACCAGACACGCATTTGATCTTTGAGCGAGTTAAGGTTACTGCTATGGTGTGCGTACACGGTAAGCCATTAAATACTTGTTGCATTATCTCGCCATTTGTTTTTGGAAATTTGAACTATTTAAAGTGCTCATATGCTCCTTTTAAAATAAAACAATTTTATGCTAACCTTACTGTATTAATAAAATTATTGGGTGGGCCCTCTCAATATTTTTTAAATGCAGAGTAAAGGCAGTACAGAATTATTTTATTTTAAAAGAAATATGTACGCTCTAAATAATTTAAATTTCTTATTAAATACTTTTGTTGGAGTCTTCGATATCTAGGGGTGTGGAAGTGTTAATAGGTGAATGTGGTTTCCGCCCCCCTTGTGGAAATATAAATTAATAATCATTACTACAATCTCTCTCTCTCGCTAGAAAAAAACAACACTTTTCCAATGTAAATATTCGAGAAAAAATATGTATATTTATAATTTATTTAAAATTCTAATT